TGGTGGCAGAAGTATCAAGCAAAACTATTGAAATGTATAACCCACTACTTAATTCGTTGACTTATTGGTAGAGGGAAGCTTATACAATAATGAAGGATAATAGGATGTCAATTCAACTACTCTTCTAAACACAAGTGCCAGACTCCTTTTAATCCCAATAGATAGCCCGTGCGGGATCTCCTATTAACAGCAGTAAACAACGTGTAAGGATTCCTCTTCCGATCCTTCCTACAGTATATAATTCTACCATTCTTTCTATGTTGCTATGACAACAGTACAGTCCTTGACACATGGTATCATGTTGATACCGGGTTAAGGTCTATGTTATGATGAGCTAGTGGAAGGAGGGCAGGTATATATATAATGGCATGGTCTGTAGATATGAAGTTCTCTACGCTTAGTTTTCTGTCACAACTACCATCATTGGATTACCTTGGATTACCTCTAGTTACCTCCAGTTACCTTTTGTACCTTTAGTTACCATTAGTACCCACTCGAACCTCTAGACATTTTAGCAATTTATATAACCCAACTTTCAAACCTTTAGCTCCTTCTAGTAAACTCCAGTAGACCTTCAGCCATCTCTAACGATCCATCCGACCTCTTCTAGCCCTTCTATTCCGCTTCAGGTCAAACGTCTAAGCTCCAATATGACATTACGCTAGCACAGGGTATACGCAATCTCCATTTGCCAAACACCAGTTGGTCGGGATTACTAATTATCGAGCCTAGTAGGATCGAGAAACTGTATCCCAACACAGAAATAATAGAAAACTCAACAGCCAAACCCTTCATCAATTACTTCCATTAACCATCACCTGACTTATCTCTGTACTCCATAATTTCAACAGAAACAATACAAAGATCTGGACCTATTCATGCGTTGCAAAAGACCACCGGAACTAACTTTACCAAGATGGGCGTGCCATTGTCTTATTGCAGCAAGTGTTAAAATCTAGACATGCCAGACCGAACTGCACGCAGTGCGGAGTAGACAAAGACTACTCATCTTCGATTGCTTCCAGCTTTGGTGAGGTCTCGGTTGGTAATGATCTCGGTGGTGTGAATGTTATTCCATCATGTAATCAGAACACAATATTTCTACCTAAGCGAGGTAGAACATAGATAGACAATTAGATGTAGATTAAAACACTAACACTCATAACTACCGAAATATAAGTTCAGTAAAACCAAAACCTCACTGATCCTAACCTTTTATCTCTGATCCTTAAATTCCCAATATCTTATGATTCGTACAGTATTGAGTTGATGGTCAACATTCACTTCTATCATTCCAGATACCCCCCAGAACTATAATAGCAAGAACAGGCCATGGGGACTACGCCGACTACCATTGAAGTTTCAACCCTGAACATGAAGATCTGAAATGTTACGGCGTGCTACAGGGTACATCGAGATCACCGTTCGCCGAGGGTATGAAAAGGTCAAGTGGTGAATACTATAGAGGTGGGAAGTCGACGAAGTACTATGGCTAGAAGGAAGCGGGTTTGCGAGAGGAATACTGTAATAATATTATAAGATTGTGAAGCTGGAGAACTACTTTGTTGTAGCTCCAGCTTCCTTAAGTACAAATAACTATCTAACGTAATTCAACTAAGACTGTTGTAATTTACCATCATGACTCAAACTGTGACCTCAACCATATAAATTCCAGTTGGCGCATTATCTAGTCTCACCATATAAGTGCAAGTGATGAGGGTGAGCCAAAAAAACTGTTCCGTGAACTTTATCCTCAGGCATTCTACTTAGACTCTGGTTCCAGAATGTCTCGCCATGACATGAAATGCGTTTGCGGCCGAGAGAAAAGGCCCTGGCATTTTCAGAGTGCCGACCTGCTTTGCTACGTTGGTGAATCTATGAGAAAATGGCCCCACCTGGGGCCAGGGAAATAATAGGGGAGAATGGATGGCAGAAGTTCATTCAATTCTTAACTACAAGTAGATGTTACAGTCTGCCGAGGAATGAACAGGGTGGGACGCGACCACGCTGAGATTGTTTCTGACCCGAGAGGAGATGGGTGTGGAAGATAGGGATGCGGCACAGGGCACCGTAACTCAGACATATATATATATATATATATATATATTTTTTCTTTCATTTTTCCTGATTTGGCGGCTTGAGGCCCATACAGGTTTTATCAGAAGAAATGTACTTCAGTAGGATGACTCAATTTGACATTTAGAGCACTCACACTCGGATTTCATTTGCAGATACCACTCGAGGTTAACCCTTACAGCCTATAACCTCTTCCGTGCATACCCACCACAGGGAAAAGCGTGAAAACCCTGTGGCTATCAGAATGTGCTTTCATCATCCCACAAGCACAATACCACCGCGAGTTTTATGGCCAGTGTTGGTACAACGGGGTTCACTTGGTTTAATGCCTTAAAAGTGCTAAAAACAAGTGATATATTCTTTCTATCTCTCTTCTGTATCCCTCCTCAAGCATTAATATATAAAGTACAAAATGAAGCTTAGCGCCCTGATTATATCATGTGATGCGCTGACCAATACTTTTGGAATTAAATGTTTAATACAAGCCCTTTATCCATACGCCATTCACCTGTGAACCGACAGCCAGGCATCCTTGAAGAGGTTTCAAGGGGAAGGTTCTCAGGAAAAAGTGATAGGAGAATGTTTTGAGAAAGGTTTTGGGAAAAGGTTTACTGAGAAGGTTTCCGAGAAAACTCCTACAGTTAGAGATGGAGGGGCTGGCGTCATGACGGCATTTGTCATAGTCTTAGTTGAGTTCAAGTACTGTCTCGAGTTAGACTTAAGGAAGCTGGAGCTGCCACATAGTAGCTCTCCAGCTTCTCAATCTTTCATTTTTTTGATCTTTGATCTCGCAATCTAGCATTTACATAATGTTATAATCTTACATTCTTCGTCCTTCTGTTCACCCTGAGTTATCATCCTTGATTGCCTGCTCGTCAACTCGACTTCTTGACTACATGTCTTTCGACTATTCTGTAGTTCCGCAACCTTAGACTACCTGGCACCTCCCCAATCAAATCATATCTAAGTATCCTTTGTTAGAAACTGTAATCCTAACAGTTATTAATACTTTACCTTCGGCAGACGGCGATCCCCAGTATCCTTAGCGCACGCCTTAACAGCGAGAGAGAGTGGTGTGTGGGTCTGACTGGATTTGAAACAGCTATCTCTTGACTCGAATGGGGTAGGTGTTCAAGCTACCCAGTATCTACTTGGGAGAACGACCCAGATGGTCTACCACTGCACCATCCAACCCTGATACAGGGTATTGTCTATATAAGTACAGTATTCCTTTTCTTGTGCCTGGAATCCAACGTGAACAACATTACATAAGCATTACAATTTATGAGAGCCTCGTACTAATATAGAGGTCTGTCAATCTTGGATCCTCAGTGCAATGGGTGACATATAAATAAATTATTCAATATCCCGACTTAGCGCTTTGAGGCCCATGCAGGTCTTTATTGAAAGATATGTAATTTTGTGACAGGAAGCCCAGGTTGGTGATGATAATGTTGATTTAATAAACTGTACAAAGAAGTAAGAAAAATTTGGCTACAACTAACAGGTATTTATAACATTCAACCCCTCAGTGATTTTCTTGACTGATTTCTTCACCCTAGGCCAAATACTTGCCACCCAGCCACACATTATCAAGAATCACTACGCTGTGACACTGATCTGACCCCTTAGCTGGTAGTGCCGTATCTTCCAGTTTCCTCTATCATTTCCTTACAGTCTTATAATATGAATCTTCAACAATACGCTTAGGTATCCACATAAGCTCAGACAACAGTCAGACCGTAACAGTTTTAAGTACAATGACTGAATTTGGCGTTGAGAACACTCACACTAAGATTTCATTTGCAAATACCACTCGAGGTTAACCCTTACGGCGTATAACCTCTTCCGTGCAAACCCACCACAGGGACACGCGTGAAAATCCTGTGGCTATTCCAGTGTGCTTTCATCATCCTACAAGTATAGTATCACCGCGGGGGGGAGTGGTGCGTGGATTTTACAGGATTCGAACCAGCTTTCTCCTGTCACAAATGGGATAGGTATTCTAGCTATCCAGTGTCTACTTGGGAGAACGGCCCGAGTGGTGTACCACTGCACCGTCCAGCCCGTTGGGTGACAAATTCTTTGCACGTAATCAGCAAACGAAAATGTCATGCATCCTGACAACCTGAATCAGGTATCAGATGATTTACACACTACACACGCTCCTAATACAGTGGCTGGCATTTTAACACGTATCTCGATCCACACAGGGAATTAAGATCTGTAGAAATATAGGAACATCTCATCTCTAAGTTAGGATCAAGTGGGGAACTCAATTTGAATGAGACGTATCTGCTCAGCCTTATAAAATTAAGGGGACTCAGTGATAGTTACACACCAAGATGTACCACTTTGTCTTTACAACATCACAATTTTGCCACCTGTTCTTGGATCCATCAACTCGAGTCCTAATCTCTTTGAAGTGGTATGTTGCAAGAGTTTAACAACACCCCGTTGAGCGGATTGGTTTGCAAAAGTTTGTGGCTGTTGGGCACAGATCATATCACTTGGTGAAGCGAGTGGGAAAGTAAAGGAGTCTGTAAATCTATCGTGGAGAGTTGTTAATTACTCCCACTAGGACACAGAGTGCTATATAAACTATATTTTGTAATAATAAAATCTAGTGGTTGGTATTTACGTCAAAGCGCATTAATACTAACCTCACAATTAATGGGAGATTAGTGACGTGTCTTCTACACATCCCTGTCTTTACCATAATTTGAAGCACCAATTTCAACACACCCATGGCAGCTCCCATGTGATTGTTGTTTTTACACATAGAAGTCCAAAAATATTCATTTGTTGATATAATTTATCTAGTCAAATCTATGGCTATCTCATTTATGAAATAAAGTCTCTAGCCTGTGTGACCATTCATATAAGAACTTTATTTTCAAAGAGTTGAGGTTCTTACACTAAATCTATCCAGTCAATGGTACACATCTCTCTATCTGGTCGCTTTCCACTTGTTGTTTACCTTGAAGCGGTTGGGTAATCTTAGCACCATAATAGAAAACACAGTGTTCATCAACAGCAAGGTAGTGTTTGGATGGGATATCTTTTGCCAGTTTAGTTTTTGAATCATAGAAAATATAGAGCTATCAAAAGCTGAGTAACTGACTGTAATGCATCGTACCACTCTCTGATACTGTAGGGAGATTTATGAAATAAAGTTTGAGCCCAGTTCCATCATTGTAAGTATGTCTTGGGTAATTGTGATACTTTAGACCAAACAAACCTTGCGTTTGAGAAGTGCACCGCGTATTGACATATTGCTCGAGGTTCTGGCCAGAATATTCAACGCCATTACAATTTATTCCTTTATTTATTGTCCACGTTCCATTGACTTCATGCACAATGGTGAAAGCAATTAAAGCGAGGTATTTCAATGGTGTCATGCCGGTGAGTTTGAGTTTTAATGAATAAAAATGAGGAGGGAAATTTTTTCTTTTTGCTAAGTGTTGTATGTTTCTCTGCTCACTCGAGTGTACGCTGGCTTGGCTTATCGAGCCAGATGAAGCGCGGTCATCGCCATTATTTATATAGGAAAGCTGTTGCTAAGTGTGGAGTGAGAACTGATGCATTCAAATCGTTTATTTTTCCCACTTCATGGTCATCTCGGCGGAGATTCTGACTCGAAAGTGCTTTGAGGGTAATAATGGATACGCCCCGGCGGAAGAGGGTTGAGTTGTTTGACACGGAATCCCACGATTAAGATTAGGTGGAGATAATTGATCCCTTGGTAATCTTGAACCTTGCATTCATTCCAACTACTATTGGCCATCGTAGTCACTAAGTTCGCTCGAGACGGAAACCGGAATTCAAGCTCTATCCTCAACTGTCATTCCTGATCCAAGTGCAACATAAGATGAGTTTCGCTGGCCTGACAGTACCCCTCAACAATTTGCAATCATGCATAATGAAAATTTTTCAGTTTCCAGCTCACCCGTCTCAATCTGAGAGATTTTAAACAATGGGCAAAGTGTTAGAAACTGATACTGACGTCTATTGAGGCGCCACCGCGATATTTTGGTCTATGCAAACAACTTTAGCGGCGACGAGTTAGCCATTACGATGTATGAAGCAGAACTCTGCAAGTGAAAAGCAGTGGATCCCATAGTTCCAATAATGCAAATATCGGATATATGTCTATTTAGACTATGTAGGTACAATGTGGAGATCCATTATCTAATTTTTTTATCACAGTGTAAGCAGCTATCTAGCTATGACACAAGGATTACATGAACTCTTCACAAGGAGAATGGTATCCAATACAGAGGAGAGGTCTTGGACGCATAAATCACAGGATGTTGTGGTTATGAGCTATGCGGAAGTCACATTGCGGAGTGATGAGGAGAGGATGATGTTATAATTTGTGGTTGACAGTGAGTAGCCTCATACAATACTATACTGTAGGTATGTGGACAGAAAGTATAAGACTAAACCTGTGTCCATTTATTGTGGGTACATCTATGCAACTATATACATGCTCGCCTAACCAGCACACTAGTGATGTATACTGTGGCCTTGAGCCACACGCGATGCCCTAGCCTCGACTACCTCGTTGTCTCATATCATAACACAGGAGCCCTGAAGGATCTTGAGGCGGCGCTGAGAATGAAAGAAGCGCAACAGCAGTTGGGGGAGACGATACGGCGAGTGACTGTGTTTCTGGATAGTCAGCGTGCTGTAAAAGCACTTGAGACGAGCATCCCTGAAACCAGCCTCGAAGGGGTACGTCGGTTTTGCATACTCTCAGCATCAGCTATTATGACAATTGAGTGGATCCCCGGTCACCCTGGAATACAAGGGGACTAAGAAGCAGACACATCTGCGCGCCTCGGCTTATGAATGCTTCCCAGTCCAGACAGCAAACCAGGATCTATTTTGTTAGCATACCTTCGCCGTCTCATGAATAATTGGTTACAGCTTTTGCTCGGCAATTGGTGGGATAAAGCGAACCCTGCTCGGTATTGAAAGCTTGATCTGCTCATGAAACGGCGCAAGACCCCTGAGTTAGTCCTATCAAGGCATCTACTCAGCGAAATAATTGCAGCCCGTATTGGACACGGTAATTTCGCGGCCTAATATTGCCGATTCAACAATGCAGACGCACCTAGTTAGTGCGCGTGTGAGAAAGACTAGTGCAACCCATTTTATATACAGCTGGCTCTATTCTGACAAAACACATTGAATCCGAGGTCCTAAGTCCCACGATGTTATGGTTTGACCGTTGTTTAAGCTTTGGCAGATACCTAAGCCTAATATTGAGAATTCTTAAGATGAAGCTGTATGGGGGGGGAGATGAAGCTGAACAAAACGGCACTATTAGTCAGGAAGCTGAAGCGTTATTACAACTTAGTGACACCTGGAAATAAGTGGCTGGGTAAGAAGTATTGCGCCTAAGGACTTGTCACTAGTCTGTAGATTCATGAGGAGGTTCAACTCTAACAAACACCTGTTAGTAGTAGCTATAGTTCTCTTTCATCCTCATATAGTTTATTAAATCAATTTATTCATCACTAACTTGATTTCCGTCACAATATATACTATATCATTCAAATCCTTTGCCCGTCATTTGTCATAGGCTAGAGCCTAAGGCAGCCAAGGCTTGGGCTTGGGTGACTGATCTGAGCTGATACCAATCAGGTGACTATTTAGTTGCTCTATTTTGGTATAGTCTGGTAACAGCACAGACCACATTTCAATGTACATAAGGAAGACTTTTCCTCTTCCATCTTCTTTCTTTAGTTTAAGATCTTCTATACACAGCACACAGTACAATTCAAATACAATTCTACTTCTAGCCCTTACATCATTAAGTACATATTACGGGCTTAAGGAGACTAGGAAAGATTCCCTGGACGAGGTCTGGAGACCAATTAAGTAATATAGATCTTTGAAAACATTAACATTAGCCCTGTAAAATATCTTCACGCTGTAAACCCTTACCTACACAGTAGAGACATCTTTTGGATATCATTGTTTTAGATAATCAGAATAGACTTCGTAAACTTCGTTCGAATTGTTCAGATCACGACTCATTTGGTGACAGTACATCGCAGTTGTAGATAATTGTAACTAAGAGCATCTTTTGTTATTGGTTTCAATGCACAGGGATTCTAAGAACCAATAATGGGTTCAGAAATGAACAATTTTACTATTGGAACAGGCTTTGTTGCAACTGGTTTATCGAACTAGAAATCTATGCCACATGGAGAAATTGAATCAGAATTGCAGAGACTGGTCTAAGAAATGAGATTAGGAGGAATAGAACACCGAAGAGACCTTGGGACTCTACCATCTCACATGAACAAAATGATGAAAACAATGCAAGAACAATTAGAGAATGAGAAAAAAAACACCTGCAACCTTCAAGGGCTAATTTAGGAGGCCAATCAAATTGCAGAGAGTGTTATATTGAAAAGGTGCCTGTCATGGTTTCAGTCCGAAATGATAGGGCGACCTTATAAGTAAATTATGTTAATTATAATTCTCTGGAAAGAGAATTTCTCAATCTAAAGACTACATATATATACATTCTAAATGACTGCCTTTCAAGAAGATTCTCCCTGTGACCTGAATTATTGATACTCTTCTACAACTACCTAGAAGGTTCTCGGTACACTTGGCATCCTCATGAACCTTCAATGTGTTTCCAGAAGGTTTACTCAGAATATTCGAAGTTCTATGGCTTCCGAGACCTTCCCCAAATATTCCCCTTGTATCATAGCCTGCGCTAGCCAGCGTAGGCTATAGGAGTCTTTCGGCTTAACAGGCGTCACAGTGCCACTTAAATGGCCAGAGGCGTACGATCACAAGGATAGAACTAAGTGGGCAATTACACACAGAATACTTCGGTACATATAAAAACATGATGTAGGGGAGCAGAATATTCTTCAACTGTCTGACTTTTCAAAGCAACTATTTAGTCATGCAGTAACTGGAACAGCGAAAAATATAATCACAGGTCAGTTTTAAAGTATGCTTGCAAATGGCATGGAATGGGATGCGCTAGGACTGCTACAGGCTATGGATGATTATTGTGATGTAACTGTCATAGTTGGTATGAGTGCACCCATGTCTGTAGCACAAGTGCAAGCATGCAATACAGGGATTAAATGGTCCCAGTACCACTTATTACTATCAGTGCTAAGAGCTGAACGTTACTAGTACAACACAGTGCAGAATATGTTACTCTGGTTACCTGACAATGGGCTTTATTGTGATTGTCGATTGTGTACATATATATCAGTCGCTTAAAGGATCATATTTTGGTAGAGTAAATTGCTCTATGTATTTGCGGTATTCAGGTTGTCGTTAGGACACTGATAGGGGTATGATTTAGCTCATTAGAGAGGCGCTTGGAGTAGAGGAAAGAAGGGGAGATGGAGAAGAAGAAGAGGTGAGACAACGTTTTATGTATTTCGAGATACCAGTTAATTGACATTATTCACCAACTTCGTGACAGACAGCTGACTTTGTGACAGCACCCAATTTGTATTAATTCGTGTTTTACCAACAATATCAGTCCTATCTGTAGCATCTAGAGTATCCTAGAGCAATCATCTTTCAACTTGTGTCACATTCTCTGTGTCCAATTATCTCTTTCTGCTCATTTGCTGATATCACTAGCATATCCACCATTCTATGTCTTCTCACAACCTAGTCATAACAATGATAACTAATGTGACAGAAATGAGGAACAATTGGCGGCCGCACTATTTCTTGCATGTCAATAATTCCGGTACGAGAGCTTATTGTCATATTTACCGCGCTTCCAGCAGTTACTCTCACGAAGTCCCAGTGCAAAAGCGAATAACAAATGCAAGATCTACTTGTTGCAATAATTGCTGAACAAGACGATGAGCAATTACATGATTAGCAGTGGGCACCCTAGAACACTTCGAGAATTACTTGATTGCCTATCAATGCTGAGTTCTGAAATTGACGAGGTTGGTATAGAAATTACAAGGAAATACCTGCTAGGTCAGACAGGGTACTTAGACGATGGAACAAGAGGCGTTGCTGGGGGCAAACTACTAGGAGTCTCGCAAGAAACTACACACCATCTTCCAGCCAAAGCCAACTGTGACGGCTTGTAAGCCGGTAATTGCCTGTAGCCTGCGCTGTCTAACGCAGGCTTAGCATGAAACAAGGAGGGCCTTATAAGTGGCAAAAATAATACTGTAACACGTCCGGGGATGGGGCACGAGAATGTGATACGAGTAGGGGATATGAGTAGGGAATACGAGTAAGGAATACTGATATACGGATAGAAATCTGTGTCATAGGCTGGGATAATAATTATGTATAAAGTAACTGTTATTATCCTCTTCAATCTGTAGTTCACCATAGATTGAAATTAAAACCATCTCTGACCATAAGGTTGCTCAAG